TTAGAAGTACCGCCCCCCCCCCCCCCCCTTAACTTTCCATGGATCATGTGTAATGTACCAAATGCAGATCATATAGATCATGCAAATTATGCAAATTATAAAAATTATAAAAAATTATAAAATTGATTAATAAATAATAAATAAATAATAAATAATAAATCACATGTAAAATCACATGTACAAGTCACATATAGAAATCACATGTCAAAATCACTTGTTACACATAAAAGTCACTTGATTTTAAATTCATCCAATAAGAATATAATAAATTAAATAATTAAATAATAAATAATTAAATTAAATAAATTTAGTTATTAAAAATGTTAAATATAATAAAAATGATTAATTATTATTAAAATAACTATGTTATAGAATATTTGGGCTGTAACAATGTCAAGAATTAGATTATTCAATATTGATATGTGTGTTATGAAATACAGTGACTCACACATGTAATGGAACATGAAAATTAAAGCATTTTTATTTTCATGACTATTAGTTTGAACAAAATAAAAAAGTGTTCATTTAAAATCCTGAAATCTTTAATATTTTTTAAAAATAATTAGAGTGATTTAAATCAAAATTTACAATTAGTAAATTTCTCACATTGAAGAACTTTTTTTCTATGATGAATTCAAATTTGAACTACTAATTAAAAATGTTCTACTCTATGAAATCTACCTATTTACCAGTTTTCATAAAAATTGGTCTCAAATTCACCGAGATTTGAGATCCCGAAGGACCGAATTTATGCTAGAAGCATTGATTCATGTATTAATGTTCCTAGCATAGATTCTGACTTAGGATCTTAAATATCTATATAAATTAAGCTGATTTTTATGAAAATTGATAAATAAGTAGATTTATAGAGTAGTATATTTTTAATTAGTGGTTCAAATTTGGATCCGTCATAAAAAAAAAAGTTCTTCAATGTGAGAAATTTACTAATTGTAAATTTTGATTTAAATCACTCTATTTCACAAAAATAATCTGTTGTCAAATTATTTTAAAAAATATTAGAGGTTTCAGGGTTTCAAATGAACACTTTTTTATTTTGTCCAAACTAATAGTCATGAAAATAAAAATGCTAGAAAGTTAATTTTCGTGTTCCGTTACATGTGTGATCCACTGTAACTGATTATACATGTTCGTATTTAGGACGTGATATTGGTATCAACGATCAGCATTTGGTACATTACACATGATCCATGGAAAGTTAAGGGGGGGGGGGGGGGTACGTTACTTCTAACGAGCACTGTTTATATAGTTCCTCATTAGAGTAACGGTAACATCTCTTCCCTCGATCACGTTACTATAAAGAGCTCTTACCATTAGTCGCCCTGACTGTATACATATCAACGCTATATAACAAATATATTAACCAAAAAAACCTAAATTTGGGGTATTTGCAGGAACGTAGTTTTTGCGTCAGAATGTAAAGATTTCAAAACCCAAATTCAGAATTAATCTTTTTCAGGAGTTGATTGTGAAACAAACAAGCAGATAAGCCTAAACTTTTTCGTAACCTACAAGATTTGCGCGTCGTATTCTTTCTGTCTTGGATTAATAGAAAATGCCAACGCCATATGATTTGGATCCTGACCTTCAAGCATTCCTGAAAATTGAAACCTTTCAGGTATAGTTGACAGAGAAATTGGTAGACCACTTAAAAGAGAGACTACTCTCCTTAGTTTTCCGGTGATACTACCATCTTTCAACGCGTATTTGAATACATTTACAAAATTGATTATCCTTCTTCAGGGTAAATTCACCACAAAAGAATTTGTCGAAAAAACCACAAAGAATTTATTAAGATCTGGGAATCCTAAAGGTAACAAACCAAAAGAAACAACTTTAGAATAGTATAAGTTTCGGGGCATACATTGTCATAGTTCATCTCTTCAGAATACACTTTTTGTTTGATAATACGCATTGTTTGAATGATAATGAATTGTTAAATAATACGTCATCAGCTTTTGTCTCATAGAATTCAATCCGAAACCGTTCATAAGAACATTCGAGAGCTCCATTGAAGAGTTGTTGAAGTTACGAAAAACGGTTCAGGAACAGAGTGATGATTTGGAGGGAAGCGTGCAATTCACAGAGGTTTCTCATCGAAAAAAATTACAGGAGCTGACGTCGACTTTTGAGGTAAATAAATTTACATGCGTCAATTCATAATATCAAATTCGTAAATTGTTAATATTATATTATAAATTTTCGCTAGGATGTCGTTACATCTTTCGAATCACTGGAAACTCGTATTAATGAAGTTGGCAATACTGCTATTAGAATTGGTGGGTGGATATTATTAATCACTTTCCTTGTTCTGTATCTTTTAGATAAATCAATTTATACTTATATTTTCTATTAGGCGAACAGCTAGAAACTATAGACAGACAAAGACTACGCGCAGCAGAATCAAAGGAACTAATAGAATTTTTTATGGCATTCAATCGGGGTGACTCGACAAAACTGGAAAATCTGAAAAAGCAACATGGAAGAGAGGGTCAATTTAAGGTATCTCTATTTACGTCATTTTTTTAATTTATTGCGTCTATATATATCCATGTTTTTTTTTGCTTCAGAAATACTCAATGATATAGATTTAGGCTGCGGTGATTGCTCGACGATTGAACACTATTGCTAAAGAGGTGGATATTCCGGGCGCTGAAGATGTATATGTGTTTTTTATCTTGTGAATTGGAATTCTGCGAATGACTTTTAGGAAATGGTAATAAAATTTTGCGTCTTTCTTTTTCCAAAAAAAAAAAAGGCAAAAGCTCGGGTAGAAAAATTTTGCGAAGTTCTCGAAAAAGAATTATTAGAACAATTTGATAGAGCTTATCGTAAAGGGGACGCAAAAACTATGAAGGTAATTTTTTATTTCTGTTTATCTCGCTTATTTTATCAAAACACCAAATTAATGATCAAATTTAACTTATTAAATGCTAGCATTGCGCAAAAACATTAAATGAATTTAACGGCTGCGAATCATGTATCAAATTATATGTCAACCAGCATGAGTTTTTTATTACTAAAGTTAATATGACTGAAAATAACCTATCTAGCTCAAGGTATTGTTTTTGTTATTTCTCTATATATTGGTTTAATTTCGAGTAGTTTTTAAATTCTACTATTGTATTATAATAATGAAAGTTGGAATGAACTCGCCAATCCAGAAGTACCTCCTCCGCCTGCTGATCAAGGACTCGTAAAACTTTATGAAGAAATTAGAGAAACTGTTAAACAAGAAGCAGAAATTATCAATGCTGTTTTTCCAGATCCAATTAGTGTTATGCAAGTTTTCTTGCAACGTATTTTTGCGCAATTGGTATTTACTGTTCTAGGAAAATTTTCTTTATAAGAAATTATTGTAACCACATTATTAATAATGTTGAACAGATCCAAAGTCACTTGGAGGCTTTATTACAGCAATCAGAACAAGACTCAACATTGGCATATCTACGTACTCTTTCGTCCGTACACGCGGTCACGGTAGATCTTGTCGAAGATTTGAAACACCTGGACATGCGTCAAAGGAAATCTTCATCTGATATGCTTCAAAACAATAACGAGGAAGGCGTTGGTCCCAGCAAAATAAACACTATTGTCGAAGTATTGAACCAATGTATGGTTGATTTGTTTGTCCCATATACAGAAGCTGATCGGTATATAGAAAAAGAAAAGAAATCTTTGAATGAATTATATTCTTCGCTTTTATTGCAATTTAATGCGTATCATGTGAGTACTTTTTAATAAATATTGTTAGATTTTTATAATGAACGCCTACAGAATATTGATACATTCTTATTACAATACTAGATACAAAGGAAGCAAGCAACAAAAGGAAGCACTCTATTTCAACGTGCTGTCAATCAAATATCTTCATCTTCGTCTGCTGGTTCGTCTCCGAATCTTAATCAGACTCCGGGAACCAACCTAATGGAGAAAGGCATTGTTCCCACAACAGAAGAAGATGGCAAATTATCTGTGTATTCTGCCATGCTAATTTTGAAAATACACGCAGAAGCTATAAGACGATCAGTAGAATTGAGTCTCTCTAATGATCGGTAAGTAATCATTAGTATATGGAATCAATTATACATGCTGGACTAATTAGATTTTTTTCATCCTAATAATTAGACCCAAAAATGCGAGTATATTGTATCATGTTTTACTAGAAAGTATTGGAAAGCAATATGTTGATAATGCTCTTGACACGTAAAGTATATTCTATTATTTATAACATTATAAAGCTTAATTTTTAACATATAATACGTGCTTAATATTCTAATTGATAGAGCGTTAGATCAGATTGCTGTGATGGACTACAAAGTTGATTTTGATTTCAAAGCTATAACGGTGGTGAAGGTGGCTCGTGAGATTATTCACCTAGCCCAAAATCATTTCCAAGCCGTAATTGTGCGTATGCTTCGATCATAATTTAGAAATCGAAATGAAAAATTTAATGACTAATCATTCCTGTAAAAAGTAGCTCCCATTGGCATCACCTTCATTGTCTATACACCGAGAATTGATTGCCGATAAAAATAAATTTATGTTGGTAGTCGAAAATAAAATCAATTTAGCTGTGCAACGTATAATAGATGGTATGTATTTATTCATAGTTTCCTTTTTATGCTGAAAATTCTCAAAAATTTGGGTTTTTATCAAAAAATAGCAATTCTTTTGCGGCTGGGGCATATATTATCGAAACAGAAAAAGAGCGATTTCAAACCAAAAGAAGATGAAGTTCTTACGAATTTGATGACTTCGGTAAATTTTCAAATTTGGATCCGAATTTATTTCTAAATTGCCTCGATTGATGAATCTTCTTTTTCTGATAATATGATTAGCCCTGCGACATTTCTGTCGATTTTCTGAAAAAAGTTTATGCTAATAGTAACCAATTTCTCGATGGGAAAAATTTGGAGTTGTTTTTAACGGAAGTGGGGATGTCTTTTCATAGGTAAGACAAAAGAACATATAGAGTTTTTTCTTAGAATTTTTTTAATCTTCAATACTTACAAGAGAATTTGATTTCTACAGCATGCTATTAGACCATTTGAAAAAGTTTTCAGTGAGTGCTGCTGGTGGTTTGGTCTTAACAAAGTAAATAATTATTTTATATATTCTATGAGCCCTTTTGATTTAAAAATTCTCTGACATATTTCTTTATCATCGTATTACAGAGATATAGCAAAGTACCAAGAAACCATAGCACTCTTCAAAATCCCCGCACTAGACGAACGCTTCGAAATGATACGACAGCTTTCAAACTTGTTCATTGTCAAACCAGAGATTCTGAAATCGGTCCTAAACGAAGGCTACCTCGCAAAGATCGACACCAAATACCTTCATATATATTTACAACAACGATCCGATTTCAAATCTGCGGGAATAGATCAGTTGATCGGAATCAACAATACCGAGGCCTCGGACGAACGTAATTTCAATGAAAAAGCTCGTGCAAAATTGGCTTCTATGGGTATCAGTATTGGAAGTGGTCGAGATTCATCGACTGATGGTAGTGGTGGTATTGGTCAAGGAGGGGTTGTGACTGCTAGTTTTGTTTCTCCTACTAGTGATAGTGGATTAAATGGTGGTAGTGGCGGTATACAGCGACTTCACGTTCCTGATAATATTGTGATTCGATGATTTTTCTATTTAAGGTTTAAGTAAATATCTAGAATGTACATTTAAAATATAAGAATGAAACATAGACGTGCATTTATTTTCACTCTATATATCGAACTTAACCGACTATATAGTAATTTAGAATATACATATGATGTACAATTTTGTGTCCAAATATTCGGGATTATTATCGGTTTTTTTATTTATCATTTAATTGTGCTACAGTGTAGTATTCTGTTTTTTTTTTTAGTATTAATATTAATATTAGTATTATTAATAATAATAATAAATTATTATTATTATTAATTAATATTAATACATGTATCGGTATATATTAATAATTAATAAAGATTTTTTACATGCGCGTTTTTAGACACGCTAAAATTCCAGCTGACAAAACCATCAACAATTCAGTCATTGTGCGTCGCTATGCTTTATTCCGTAAAATAAATTTGCGCTATTTTAGTTTTTGGTTAGCTTGAATTTTGTTTAAGCTATTGGTTCCCACTAAACAGTAATAAATAAATTATTTTATATTGATCTGGATCTGGATCAATTAACGTCAATTATCACTATTTATATATTTTCTTTTTTGCAAGTTTTCTGTTATTGTTGACTTTTTCCCTTTTTTTTATATATATATTCTTTCAATATAAGTAGATAGATAACAGTTCGACCTAATAGATCCCATCAAAAACGCAAAAAACGTCTAGATCCTATTAGTTCTTTCACAGAATCATATAAAATACGCAAATATAAATATTTGAATTTTACACACTCTTCGCTACTCTTTCAATTATTGTAATTATTATTATTGCTTAATAATTATCATTTCTTAAAAGATCTTTTCGATTATTGTAATAATTATTACTGCGTAAAAGATCTTAAAATGAGTGATTTGTACATTCCTTACGCACCTGCCTCAGTATACTACAATACTGGGGATAACAGCTTCACAAGTCTTAATGTAGATCGTGTAAGGAGGTTTGTTGTAAGTGTCGAACGAAGTATTATATCGAAAATATTACTTTGCTATTTAACATTGATATCACTGTATAAATAAAAATTAATAGACCTCACAAAACAGAAGTGTCTCTGGGCCATCACAACGCAGGTCTTCACATGGTAATTATTTTTTTTTTCATGTATCATGGTTTTGAGGTATGAAATGTGTGTATCAATAAAAACTGGTCCCGACAATACCGTTGTCCCTACTACTTCTGGCTCCATCTTAATACATATCATGAAAAATCATGACCGATTAAATATTCTCGCAACAAAAACTCGCACAAATCATCATGGACGGCCTTTCTAGATGATATTACGGTTTAGGCAAAACATGCGATACTACACTTCTACCTCCTCTTCCTCTCTTCACCAATTGACTGAAACAACTCTCTCCTCTTCCTCGAAAAAACACAATAGACGAGAAAACGAACGTGCCTCGCAAATTTTTAATTGATGTTCTAGAAACCCGTCGTCAGATTCTGGAACAAGAAGATACAGATGGTGATTTTCAGATAACGGTAAACGACTCTGGTCCGAAATCGTTAAAAGTGGGCACTGCAATTTCCGGTGGTCATAGCAAATTTGAAATTCGCGGGACATATATGTTATCGACTTTGCTGCAGGAACTAGCATTAGCACTTGACCATGGTCGTAAACATATAGTTATAGATGAGGCGCGGCTCAATGAAAATCCTGTCGATCGGCTATCTAGGATGATCAAACATCACTTTTGGGATGGGCTCACCCGGAGGATCGATGCAGACGGTTTAGAAGCAATTTGTGCGGACCCTAAAAATATGAATGCAGATCATAATCCTCGTATTTATATTCCATATGGTGAGGTTGAAACATTTGAATATTACAAACATGTATCGGAGACTAGAAAACACTTGAAGCTTGAAGTGGAAATGTTGCCGCAAGATATAACACCCGAATATGTAAAAAGCATTAATGATCGACCAGGGATTTTGTCTTTGGCATTGAGAAAACACGTCGATGAAAAGGGCAGATCAATACTCAAAGGCATCCCGTTTATAGTTCCCGGTGGCAGATTCAATGAAATGTATGGCTGGGACTCTTATTTTGAAACTTTAGGATTAGCTCTCGACGGGAGAATTGAGATGGCTAAGGGAATGGTGGAGAATTTTGTGTATGAAATTAAACATTATGGTAAAATATTGAATGCAAATCGCAGTTACTATTTGACAAGATCGCAGCCACCATTCCTCACAGATATGGCACTTCGCGTATATAAAAATCTTCATGGTGAAGAAAACGAAAAAGTGAAATGGCTTGCAGCGGCTTTTAATGCTGCTATCAAAGAATATCACACCGTTTGGATGAGTGCTCCGCGCTACGATCCAAAAACTGGACTTAGTCGATACTATCCAACTGGTATCGGGATTCCTCCAGAAACCGAGGCAAGCCACTTCGATCATGTTATTTTACCATACGCGAGACGAATGGGTCTTACCATTAAAGAATATGCGGCAAAATATCAAAATAATGAAATTCATGAACCACAATTAGACGAGTATTTCTTGCACGATCGTGCAGTACGCGAGTCTGGCCATGATACAACATATCGTTTCGAAAAACGATGCGCACATTTGGCGACCATCGATTTGAACAGTTTGTTGTACAAGTATGAAATAGATATTGGTGAGACAATTCGTGACATTTATAATGATAATTTCGTATTGGAAAACGGTGACATTGAAAAAAGCGAAGAGTGGTTTAAACGTGCAAAAAAACGAAAAGCAATGATCGATAAATATTGCTGGAACGACGAGAAAAGCCTATATTATGATTATGATACGGCAAAGGAAGAACCATCTGTGTATGAGTCAGTCACTGCATTTTGGGCACTTTGGGCCGGGTGTGCTAGTAAATATCAAGCAGAAGAATTAGTGCAAGTATCATTATCTCAATTATCACTAATTAATATCACCTTCAAGTTTAATATTTATTTTTAACTCAATTATTCATATATACAGTAAAAATTCACTTTCTAAATTTGAAGTTCTTGGCGGTTTGGTTAGTGGAACAGAAGAATCACGTGGAACTATAGCATTGGATCGTCCTAATCGTCAATGGGATTATCCTTTTGGCTGGGCACCACATCAAATAATGACATGGCGTGGATTAGAAAATTATGGATACTTAACCGAAGCTCGTCGTTTAGCCTATCGATGGCTATACACTATAACTAAATCTTTTGTCGATTTCAATGGTGTTGTCCCGGAAAAATATGACATTGTCACACTTAGTCATCTGCTTGACGTGGAATATGGAAATGTTGGTGTCGACTTTAAATTTGTACCTCGAGAAGGTTTCGGTTGGATGAACGCTTCTTATCAAGTTGGTCTCAGCTACCTGACACAACATCAGCGAAGAGTCTTAGGCACATGTACGAGTCCCAAACTATTCTTCAAGGAGGAAAAGAACAAAGTAACCGAGTTGACTGTCCAAGAAGTACTAATGCAAGCAAAAGAAATACTTTCTAATAGTGAAATTAATATACCAGACACTCCAACCCCACCCGAATATGCAGCTGCTGCTCAAATTGATAACGAAGAAGATGATATTATTATTAGATCACCATTAGAACCAGTGTCTGAAAGTTTCGCTGAAAATTTTACAGTCGCGCTAATAAATGATGAAGGGCAATTAGAAGCTGTGGAATTGTCGCCGATACAAATGGAAGAGTAAAATCAATGTTTTGATATTGTGATTAGTTTATTATTATTGTTGTTGTTTGTTTGTGATTCAATTTCTTGAAGGTACAAGATACAATATTTTTTTGACAATTATTGTGTTATATTTTATATTTTATAACATAAAAAATAACATAAATTTCTTTGATGATTGAAAGACAATTATCAAAATTCTAATCTCAGAGATTTCTGATAATTCTTATTTTTGTACATATTTTCATTTCATTTCTATTTATTTCTTCGCAAGACTTCCACTCTTTTTTTTATGTAATATGTCCTCATCATCATTAGATTTTTTTGTTAATTAAAAAAAATCTTGACTTTGTATAACTTTACTATTATTATTAACTGTAATCTTTTTTAATATAACTAGATTTTATTCTCTACGTGGTATAAGAGAATAATAAGCGTTTTTTGTACTATATGCTAGGTAGAAATTTTGATTTTCTTTTGTTAATTTGAAAAGTACGAATTGATTAGTTTCATAAATTTAATATATAATATTCAATAGATTATGTGACCAGTATATATTATTATATTAATAATCTAACTATTTAGTCAATCCAATAGTAAATTTTTTTCAAAAATGTGACTATACAGTGGGGACAGCATAAATCATCAACTCAGGTTGGATTTTTGAAGGGTTATAACTCTTGTTTTGTACGTGAAACAAAAACTCCTCTTTAGCCAAATTGTAGCTGGGTCAAATGGTTACAATTTAGCTAAAGAGGATTTTTTGTTTTACGTATAGAACAAGAGTTATAATCCTTCAAAAATCCAATCTGGATTGATGATTTACACTGTTTTTCACTGTAACAGGATTTTATAATAATTCTAAGAATTTATTATAACTTGTATATAAAAATAATTGTTGAGAAATTTGATTATAATCCAATATTTTTATTAATAATTATATTATTAGATTTAATAATAATTTTTTTTATGAATATAATTTTAAAAAATAATTTTATTATAGTTGATTTTGAAAAAAGTATAATTATAACAAGAATAATTAATTATAAAAAAATTTGATTATAAATACAAAGAACTCTTTCTAAATATATCTTCTCTTGGAATCATATAAAAAACAAAATATATATTTAAAAAATGTTTGTATTTATAAAGAATAAATAATCAGAAGTCATATATACTAAGCCAAAATATGTATCTAAAAAGAATATATTTAATATGTGTATTTATAAAATATATTTAGAGAAAGTTCTCTTTATATAATTAAAATTGTTTTATACAAATAATAATATTATTATTTAAATTTTTTGTTTAATAAAATATTATTATTATAATATGAATTTTAACATATTACATGATTTATTATATTTTATTTTCATTAGATAGTTAATTTATATGTAATTCATAAATTATAATCTCTTTTATTTTATATTATCCATATTTTATTTATATTATTTTATATTATCTTTATACTATAGTATATACAATTTAATTTCAATAACTAAAATTAATAAAATTCTAATTGTTACTCTTCATTCAAAAAATAATAATAATTACCAAATTTTATTATAAAATGATAAAGCTAGTTAAGCTAAATAAAGTTATATTTTTAAAATTTTTGTAGAACTATTTTAATGAAGTAGTAACAATTCAAAATTAGTAATTTTTATTATTGAATTGACATATTATATATAATTAACATATTAAAATCATATGATTACTCATAATTAATTAATTAATTAACAATAACATAATTTAATAAAAAGTTTAAGAAACTAATTAACTAATTTATTATTAATTATTATTAATTAAATCTAAAAGTAATTCAAAAATTCAGTAATGTAAAGAATATTTTTAACTACAAATTTTACTACTTGACTTGTTAAGTCTTTTTAATATATATTTATAAAATGAAACACTTTTTTTATATAACAGTAAATTATTATAAGTGAAATAGAAGCAAGAGCCAATAGAATAATTCTTTGTAATCCTATTTATAAGTAATCATAATGTGATTGACTAAATTTCTTGGTTGCATCCCAAAAGTTTTTAATATAGTTAAGCTCATAATAAAACTTAAAATAAAATATAATTTGATATCTTGCTGTAATAATTACTTTTTTAACTGTTTTTTGTACTAAAAAATCTGGTTGCTGATTTATTACTTTTTATGCTTTATTCTTTATTTAATTATAATTCTCTTTTAATTAAAACCTGGTTTAATTGGCACTGAAAATTTTGTATTACTAGAATTTTAGCAGGATCAGATTGTATTTCTTCTTTTTCAATAATATGTTCAAGAAAAGCTAATAAAGTTTTTTTCAAAATAACACTTTTTAGGATATAGTTTTAATCTACTTTTTCAAATTATATTAAAGATAATTCTTAAATATTGTAAGTATTCTTCAAAAGTTTTTGAAAATATATTAGTATCATCAAGGTAGATAACTAAGAAGTTGTTGATATAAGATCTAAATATTTTATTTATTAATTATTGAAATATTGTTGGTTCATTTGTAAATCTGAAGGGTATTATATTAAATTTATATAGTTCATCATTAATAATAAAAACAATTTTCTTTTAGTCTTCTGATTTTACTTTTATATGCCAGTATCTACAAGTAAGATTAAGAGTTATAAAGTATTTTACTTTACTAAAAGTATCTAGTAAATCATTAATTCTAGATAACAGAAATTAATTTTTTATTGTTACTTTATTGAGTTATCTGTAATCTACACAAAATCTAAATTTTTTATCTTTCTTCTTTATTATAATTATAGATGCTAATCAAGAACTATCTGATGGTAAAGTAATATTTTGTTGAAGTATTTTGTCAATTTTAGCTTTAATGAAATCTTTTTCTAATAGTGATTTTTTATAATATGACTTTAATATTATCAGTTGATTTGTTTTAGTATTAATTTCATGTTGAACTATATTGATTTTTTTAGAACCTGTTATATTAAATAGGTTATTATATTCAACTAGTAATTGATCTATCTATCACTATTATTTCTCAATTAAGTTAATTTTTTTATTTGTTGTAGATTGGAATAATAGTTCAAAAATTATTTTGAGTTGTTGATACAAATTCTGTTTTTAATTGTATTTCAAATAATTTTTGAGCATTTTGTTATTTTTATGAGAATATTTTTTGATCTTGATAATCTTATTTTTCTTCAATTCTTCAAAAGTTAAATGAAAAAATTATTAATATCCAAGTTGAGTATACTTTTTATTTACTTAAATATTTAGGATTACTTGATTGTTTTGCTTTTCTTTAATTGTAAGAAATAATTAATTTAAAATTTCCTCATCTTCAATTTCATATTCTAATTCATTCTTAAAATCAAAATTTGAGTTAAATTTTCCTGATGAACCAAATTCTTGTTGATCTTTTTCTGAACTTCTTAATTTTTCTTGTATATTAATGATTTTTAAATTAGAAAATTTTATTAATAATAAGAATATAGAGTAATTTTTTTATTTGGTTGAATAATATAGATTTTATCTGAATTATTATATAAAGTATCACTCTAATATTACCAGTATATCCAGCATCAATTGTTCTATCTTTTATTTTAATTTCTTGTTTTGCTAAAAATGATCTTGATATGAATTGACAATAAGTATTTTTAGATATTTTCATGACAATATAATTATTAATAATTATTATTTTTCCTGGTTAAATTTCTAATTTTTTGTCTTTTGGATATTTAAGATCAAATTCAGCATTAATATTGTGTGCTTTTTCAGATTTTTTGACTTTCTTGTTGTCAAGATAGATTTTAATTTCAATATCATTTAAGACAGGAAACTGGTATTTTATTTTTTAATTATCAATTTCAAAAGTTAAGTCTTTTTCAATTTACTATTACTTGGTGTTTATAAGTCCAAATATTTTCTAAAAGAAAATCATAATCTTTTTTCTCAGTTACTAGAGCATTAATATTCAGATTTTTGTTGCCTAATGTAATTGATAGATCTATTACTTCTTCAAGTGATTATTTTTTATTTTCATTAATTTCAATAAGATTAATATTACTTAATTTTTGAATCTTTTAATCAATTCTGTTCAAATATGCTTTAGATATAATATTACTAATATTTTTACTATTTATAATTATTGTAACATCTTTATTTCTTATTTTTCCAGTAAAATATAGTACATTAATAGATATTTACTTAATTTATTATTTTTATTTTCATTATTAATCAATAATTATTCTAAGAATTGTTTTGAAGAATTTTTAGTTTGTAATGCATGTTGTTACAATTCAGAATTATCTCTAATTTTTAATTTGGATCATGTGATTGAACATAAATAATATAGATAGTAGAGATAGCAAAAGTTCTCAAACATATTAACATTATCTGTTATAGTATATTTATCTAATATGTATAATATATCTTATATTATAATATTCTTATCATAAAATATTTTATATGAATAAAAGATCTTTTGAATAAAACAAAAGATATTAATTAATTTAGCTAATTAATAAACTGCTTCTTGTTTATTGTTTAATAAAATTATATATTAATTGATTTTATAATTAAATATTATTATAACACTTATTTTTATTATGTATTACTAGATAATTCAACTAAATTATTATAGAATATTAATACTATGTTGCTATAAAATCATTCACACACTAAGTAAATACAAAGAAAAATATTTATTAGTAGTAGTGATACTCTATTTTATATTAAATAGAATAGAAGAAGTTGTACTGCATACTGATCCTAATATAACTGAATTGAAGTTAGTAAATTATGAGAAATTACAATAAATATTCACATTATGAGATTACCTACCAGAGTTTGAAACTCATAATAATATTTATTTTCTTGAAGTGCATTTAAAAGTTTAAAGACTATTTAGTATTTAAGAAAGTTTTTTGTTAATTATTATTATTTTAATTATTGTTATTGAAATAGTGATTATTGTTGTCTCTATTCAGATATCAATTATTATTATTATTATAATTTTAATTATTATTTTATTGATTATAATTATT